ACCAATTGCAAACCAATCTTAATACCTATGTTGAAAAGTCGAGAAACAGTTTCAGCAGGAAATGATATCGACTATAAAAACTCAAGCATTTCCTTACAAAGAAGTAGTTGGCGCACTCAAGTAGGTCATGATTGGAACAAGACCAAATTTGACCTATGAAGTTGATTTCATCTCAAGATCACTAGAGAACTCCTCCTCAGAAAACATAGCTAAAGCAAAAAGAAGAACATCGGTATTTACCTGGAACAGTAAATCTGGATAGTCTTTTCATCGAATTGCAAGAATGGTATATTATAATTCTACAATGACGCTGATGGAGGCTGTATGAAGACTCGTTATAATCTATACTAGTGAAGCTATCAGCTGGTTCAGTAAAATGAAAACAGAAATCTATAAATACTAAGCCAGGTCAAATGCAACCGATCAAGCTATGGAATATGAAAAAGAAGAAGTACGAGGAATCTTGCAACTTGAAGAAAGGGAAAGTAGCAGAGAAGAATTGTTCACGATAATGAGCGTCAACGGAATTTTGAAGTGGAAGTGGCGCAATGATGACTATGATATCAATGAGTCAATCAAAACAACTTATTCTAGGTGACGAGATACATTCAACGAATTTATGTTTGGACTTATTCACTGTTTTATTTTAATGCAAAAACCTTCAGGATCCTGTCCTCAGATAACTTCTGCACTTCACTAGATTTAATATGATTATGTTTTACTCCGAAAACAAACATATCTTGATACCATCAATGTGATTTTAATGTTGGAAAATTGACTTTTCTCTGGACATATGTTTGCATATGGTAACATAAATTGAAGTCATACACAAACACAGTTGACAAAACCAATTAGACATATGGATACTTAATGGAGTTAAATTTGAAATCAGTGGATGATCTGAGCACAATACCTAATGTTTCTAACCTAATAAGTTTTATTTAATATATTCAGTATGACTTTTAAATGATAAAGAGTATGAATAGGTTACACCCAGGTCATTAATCTCATTCACTTTATGAAGAGAATTAGATTCTCTTCTATAATCGAACGCACAAGCCTACTGTGAAGTACAGAACGATATAATACAAGTTGTATTATAATTGATTTGAAAGTTGTTTCTGTTCGATCAATCAACTATAGCATCCAAATGCAATGAATTTTATAGACACCAGACAGCGATTCTCCATTATCAAAGAAATTAACATCATCGACGTATATCGAAGATGGTCCCAACAAATGTTGTCAGTATTTATTTAAATGTTTCCAATTTACAATTTTGTCTCGGTTTTAGCATTTATCTCGGAAAACAAGGTTGTCAGTATTATTTTAAATAGTGTTAAACATTCTAATTTGCATCTTTGTCTTGTTATTAGCATTTATTAGGAAAAATATCAGAGTATAAAAAAATGAATTGTAAGAGGGTCGGCTAGCTTACTCCGACTATTCTGGATTTTCTCAGACGCTTGCTACCCCCTCTGTGGTAAGCACTCAGACTGAAGAGCATGGCTTGCACAAAAATTTTGATAATTTATTAGTATTTAAAGAAAAAATAGAAAAATTAGTTAAGTTCTGAACCTTAATAACATATTAGTTGATTGAGTGAGGTAAAGTGGTCTATGCAAAACTACTTTTCAGAATATTGTAAATTGCAATTGTGTAAAAACTATAAGTCCAACAGAATACTTTTTAACTCACTTATTGTATACAATGGTCACTAATCTTTTCCGAAAGGGAACGGTTTTTTTCTTCAATCCAATAATTGTTTATGTTATTAAAGCTTCCCTGTGTTTTGACTTCATTATCCTCATATAAGATTAAGGGGCACTTTCCCACTTGTATTTGAAAAGGCACATCTCAAGAGAATAATTACAAACAAATATATTCTCCTTGGTGTTTAGAAACTTGAACCTTGACGAAACTCTGGTACAAAACTAGAGTGGGTGGATCGGCTTGCAACTTTCGATGATTTAGGGAGCCGGACCATAGGTTCAACCATAATGGAGGGGTTCTTAAAGAGAAACCAGACTAAGACAAGTCCCTGAAAGAGGGCAGCAGCTCTTTCTGTACTCAGGGTGGCAGAGATCACGAGGATCGGTATGGCACTCTGATGCACAATACTGCGATGTTGAAGGCAACGGGAAACCACCACATTATGATCCCGAGAAGAACGTGTCACACAATTAAATGATGGCGTCCTCTGGGGTAAAGCACTCCGGACGTAAACTAGTCCCCCATTCGGATGTCCGGGCGGGGACTACCTCGGGGGATGTCATCAATAAGTGCAATAGAGATAGGTGCAATGTTTCACGAGTCGGAGCGTGGAATGTTAGGTCAATGAGGCAGGTAGGGAAATTAGAAAATTTAAAAATAGAGATGGATAGATTAGAATTAGATATAGTAGGTATAAGTGAAGTCCGTTGGCCCGAAGCTGGAGACTTCTGGAGTGGGGAC